AAACGGTGATGCAAATTGCCAAAAAGCACAGCGTAAGTGTAAAAAAAAACTTATTCGCTTATAAAAGAAAATATGTTCGAGTATAGCAGTAAGATCCAAAAATATACAACATACAGAAGAGGATCACTAGCTCTTCTTTCTAAAGATATGCTTAGAAGTCTACATGTAAGACAATTCAGCGTAGCATCCCTCTGCATTAGAAATCTAGGCTACTAAAATTAGGCTATGCTTATCCTTACTATGTTGGAATAACATTTCGCGTCTCTTGCTTAGGCAAAACTATTAGAAACACGTTGCATACTTTTGTGCGTTGATTATAAAAACGATTGTTCTCGATTGTCAATACGTTTCTAGTGTATCGAAATTCTACGATTATTCAGTCATTTATTCTCATTTACTTCACACAGAAAAGTGCCGTAAACTATTTTCAACGCATCTGCCCTGGTGTTAAACTGGAACGCGTCTTCATGGATTGGTGCTGGTGGATATTAGCTGGTCTACCATTTCAGCATCTCGTACGAATTATGGATTGCTACTTCCACGAGGGCATCAAGGTGCTGTATCGTGTTGCGCTCGTCATAATCAATCTCTTCCACAAAGAGTGTCAATCCAACAACGAATGGAGTCCAGATAATATCAAAAACGACATTGGTAATGCGTTGATCAAATTCTGCAAGAAGATACCAGTGTCACCAACGAAATTATTGCATGCCGCATTTAGTATTAGGGGACTGAGGTGAGTGTGTGTAACTAACATTCGAATGCAGAGAAATTATTTAATCGAATTTTGTACTTCTTCCTATTGCAGTTCCACATATATCTCTAGAATATTTATGAAGACTGAAATGATACTAAAGAGCCGTTCCGTATTGAATAGCGGGTCGAAGCAATTAGTTAAGTCGCGATCCAGTGATAATTTGCCATCGAGTCAATCACAAGTCAATATACAAATGATGTCGCACACATTGACCATACGTGAGGTGAGTTGCCGAATGCATGCTTGTTGAAAATACAACTAATAAACTTAAAAATTCAAAAATTATACTAAATAAAAATTTAGGAGCTATTAAGGAGCAAAAAAAAACAACCCAAGAATCTGAATCTAACAGAAAAAACTAAAAATTTCTTTATATTTAATTTCCAAAACAATTATTTTCAAGCCATTAACTTTCGAATCCTTTAACAAGCTTTTCTCAATGCTGAGGAATTGCATAAAGTATTACTCTTGCCCCTTTCCTTATTCCCATTTACCATTTGCCATTTCTCTTTTATTTATTTTTTTTTCGATCAAAACAATCTCGACTGTGCTTTTAGTACACTTTTCGCTACTCTTATTAAATTGTTCCTACCCATTGTAGCTATTTTTGCATATCCTCTAGTTTGTTTACACGTTCGCCTCTTTCATTTGGGTATTTAGAAAAACTACTTGAATTGTTTTTCTTTCATAAGCAAGCATAAGCTTTTATATTCAGCTTAGTATAATTTTAAGCTGCGTTAATAATTAGAAAATTAAATGTTAAGTAAGCTTAAGTTTAGACATTAATCAAACTTTGTCAAATATGTGCGCACAATGGGCTTAAATGAGATGTAGCAATATGCATTTTAAAATGTTCCTTCCATCCCGAATTGTATATGTGCAGAATTCTAGTATTCGTATTAATACTTCGCGGGTATTACTCGATTTCCCCAGAGTAAAAAATTGTTTATTGGCTGGCCAGACGGTAAGAAATAATGTGGAAAAAATTTCACATTCTGGCCAGTCAGTAGATTTAGAATTTTCGATATGATTTCACGGCGCAACGCTGCGGGTTTAAGCAATGAGTAGTTCTACTGGCTCTGCTGGATGATGCAAGATGACAGCAGCAGGCATAACCTTAACATGTGAGGCTTAACATTTGAGGAATTGAAATTTCCCTTTTGAAAACTCCCAGTAATGCCTTATGTTCAGCCACTATACGTTCCCACGTCAGTCATGTCTGCCCAACCGGAACGTCCCTAATTTATATCTGGCTAGGATGACAGATGATAACAAAAAATTGACGCTAATTTTAATTTAAAAACAACGTTAGATATAGCACTTTTATGGCGAAAAATTTAAGAACACCTCTACCAATTCCAGTGAATAGTACTCATTTAATTAATTTTGTAAATTTTTTCATTCAAAGCTTCGCTGTCGGCCATAAGTGGCCTTTTCCTGATCTCTTAAAGCGATAGGCCTTCCGTGCTCGACGCAATACCAATTTAACTTTGCTCCATACACACCGCGACACGCGTGATTTCTTAAAGAAAAAACTTCTCGTCAGCTTCCGAATAGTAGAGTTATTGGAAGGTCTTGATTTATAAGATTTCCACATTTTGCTGGCTGTTTTTATGGCAATTTAATTAAATGTTGATATTGGCTGCTTAAGTTTCCAAATATTAGTCGCATTAGTCAAACATTTCCAAGTAGAAATAAAGTAGTAGTAAAGTAGGATAAGTCGAAAGTTCATCGGAAAATTTTTAAACTTTTCTATAAAATAATTTTTTTTTTCTAAGACTAATAAAATGATGAGGGAAATGCCAAGTAAAGCCAAGTCCTTCTCCACTTGGTCTTCCTCTGCTACCACCGGCCAAATTTCCACTAGGCATTGAAATCACAAAAACTGTATGCCATTTAAAAAAATGCCATGTGGAAATGAACTTAATGACTATTTCTTTTTAGCGTAATAACGTGATTATTTTTTAATGCCCAACTTCGTCATATGTCATTTTTGCCATTTATTGCCTAGTGGAAATCCAGCATTATAGAAAATGTAGCATTAAAAAAAAAAAAAACAGAAAAGGGCCACGAATCCATACTTAAAATCCGAGGCTAGAGCAAAAATATAACTGCTTAATCTAGCCTCGGAAACACTGCCCAAAAACTCTTTTATATATTACTAAAACAACAATAACAGCCACTATTAATTACCTATCTGAGCTAATTACGTTCTTGGACTCACAGTGGCCTCGAACCAAATGCAATGGGCAGATCGGTAATATTTGCTATGGTAATAGATAACTTTAGACAAATAAATTGTGACGCTAGCATCAGTTCTAATCCCCCATTTTTACCACATTAATTTTTTCCAAAGTGATTTCTAATTTCGGAAAGCAATCTCTGCCCAGTAAACTCCGGCCACTACCAGTAATCACTCAAAACCCTTATGTGAGGTATGTTTCCCCTAATTTATCTGTGTACAGGTCATTTCGAATTCATTTTCGATTCAACACCAAAGCATTCTAGCCCACTCTCTTAAACTAGCTTTTCCTGTAATTCTCCCCATATCGGCTTTTGCTCTTCTCAAAAACCTTCTATTTACTTGTGCGCACATACACAGATTTGTATTGTTCAGCTTTAGTTTTAATCAACACGTAGTTTAAGAAAAACATTAAGAAAGAGCAATACTGATTTACATATATATAGATACACAATAGCAACGACAACAACAACACCCATAACAAGTATCGTATTAAAATTTGATTTTTATCTTGTTTTTGACGTAGAATACGTCTTACCTTAAGGTATGGGGGCTATGT